AATTATATTGTATTGTATAAGTAATATAATATTATGTTTTAGTAAMTATAATATGTATATATATATATAGGTATATAGGTAATATTGTATTCAATAAATTACCATAGGTATCCGATATCACAAACGGATTCAAAGTCTTTAAAACGTTGATAGCGTCAACTGTGCAGTGCATATTACGTGAGATGTGCACTTATTAGTTTTTTTTTTTTTTGTTGACAGCCCATGGGCTGGTTTATTATAATACATAGATATAAATTCGATTTAACTTGAAATCACGAAACTTCTGTTATCGCGCTCCTGCTGTAGAACAATTAAATTCACTATTTACTAGTTATTCTACTTCAGTCGAAAACTAAAAAATGGTATAAACATGTCAGAGTGTACAACAATATTCAAACATTTACAGATTATGCACAGAGTTACCTATTTATATATGATTTATAATGTATTTTATTGTATTATATATAGTTGGTGCGTAAGTAGTCGTCTCGGTCTCATTTAGCTCATGATGTTCTGGTGTATATGCTATACATTGGCGTAGATATGAGGCAAAACACGCGCGCAAATACAAACAATAATCGATGAATTTATATACTATAATGATAAATTGACCTGATTTAGCCCAGCGATTTCCTGAAACGGTCAAGGCCGTGACCGACTATTGCGTGTGTGTTCACGTTTTCCCGACTTGACCAAGATAATCGAATAGGCTTTCATCACGGTCCATCTAAGTCCGTGAAATATGCGAAAAATCGTGTAACGCACTGTATAGTGTATATATACATAGCCCGAACAATAAAACTGCAGCCAGAAATAAGTGTGTTGAAGCCAATAAACATAATTCTAGATTCATTATACGTGATAATATCATAGATATAACTAAATAACTATAGGTAGCATAGCTAGTACCAAACATTTATATGTAGGCAAAGAACAACGCGGAAGATTCAAGATTTTAATGACTTTAACGTATATTTTATATTAACTAAATTTTTAATACAATATATAATATAAATATCGTTTTACTACACAAACATCATTTTTTTATTTTCACTTATATTTTTATTTTTGTTCAATATATCGAACCGAACCGAAACGTATAATATATAATATAGTCGTGTTTCAAAACATCAGGACAATAATTTTCATGGCAAAATATAATAATTTTAAGGAACCGAAAATAATATAGTAATAATAATAATAATAATATTAATAATAATAATAATAATAATAATAATAAAAATCATAATGTTATATAATATAATATAATATTAACATCGAATATCTAGACAATTGTTTCCCAAAA